GGGGGGGGGGGGGGGGGGGGGAGGGGACGGAGGTGGATTTTCAAAACGATCCTTGACCCACATGACAAGTACTTTTAGGAGCAACGAATTCACCCCCCGAGAGAAGAGGAAGGACGAGAAGGAAAGAGAAAAGAAGAAGGAGGAAGGGGATGGGAGAGGGTGAAAAAAGAAAGAGGAAAAAATATAAGAAAAAAAAACGACGACGCACTCGTACGCGAAACCAGCGTGGACTAGGGGTTGAAAAGGATGACGGTTAACAGGGGATGGGTTTAGCCAGTAAATAATAATCAGAGTGCCATGTCAAGGGGGATGTGGTTAACCGCACGAGCGAAGCGGAGAGCAAATAAATAAATATCCCGAGGAAAAGGAAAGGAGAGGAGAAAGAAGAAAAAAAGAAGAAATAAGCGCCAGGGCCAAAGGAACGGGGACCGTATACAAGGGTTGTTTAATCCAAGACCCGGGCGCACGTGTACGAGACGAAAAGTTCGTATGACTTTGGGAAGAAATTAAAAGAGAGAAAAAGGAAGATGACGTAAAATAAATAAGCAACCGAATAAATAAGCCCACGGGACCCGTATTTCTGTTTCCTCCCTTCTTATTTACATCGCCCACTCTAAGTCCTCCAATTACGTCACCTTAGCCCACGGTCCAAAGCTTCGTTCTTCAACGATAATGGTTCGAGGGCGTTGTTTCGGGCTCGTTTCAAATTTCCCGGGCTTCTCGAACGCCGTGTAACAATATTTCCGGTTATTCGGATTACCCGGTAGAACAGACCAAAGTGCCGAGCCGATTAAGCGCGGTCAAATTATAAGAAGGACTTTGAAGCTTACTCGTGAAGATAAGTAGGGGTAACCCGAGACTCGAGAGTCTCGACGAAAAATGGTCCAGAAGAGATGAGAGAGAACACGAGGGACAAAGAGACCAAGAAAATATTTAACGGCGAAAGAAGAAAGCCACGTCCAAGACGTAGTGTAAAATAATCGATACTCCTTGTCAACCTCTCCGACGGTACCGACTCCTGGGGGAGAGAGTATACAGACTTTTCTCTCTCTCTCTCTCTCCCCCAGCAGTGTACACCCTCAGTCCAACAACCCTCGAAACCAACCCTCCTGGAACCGTCTCGACTGGTACCAAAACGTCGGAACTTTTGCCAAAGTTAAACGGCTCCTACCTCCCTTCCCCCCCCTCCGCCCCTCCCCCTGCTGTTTCCTCGGCATTTTCCTTCGTTTCCCATTCTCTCTCCTTCACCCCGTCATCTTTACTACGGAGCCAATCCATCCCCCTTAAGAAACATTCTACAAGCGTTACAACGCCCCCTCCCCTCCTTCCCACCCTTACGGCACCCCATCCAGCATCCCCCTCCTCTACTGATCGAGCAACGATATACCTCGGAAACGCAGCTCGACCTGAGCGCCAGAAATTATTTTGGGGTTGATTGTTCACATTTTCTACGTCCGGATGTGTTTGCGCTTCCTAGCCCTTTCCAAACTCTAGCCCCACCCCACACACGTACCCATATGTACACATACGGCTAAGGCAATCTATTCTGATATACTGTACTTTATGTACGTTTACGGCCCTATGCTGTTTTCTATATCTGTATACATATGTACGCCAAAACTGTTTTTTCCGAAAAGCAATTTCCCTAGGAATTCCCTAGATCTTCTATATCCGGCTGATTCCAGTTTACGCGCAATGGGGGTTTTAGGTCTCCCCCTTATATGCCCAGTAGAAATGATTTACGCTTATGGAAACGTTTAGGCCTGATATACATCTATGTATATATTGTAGCCAATGTAAAGGTGCACTCACAACGTCGATAAGCTGCGAGAGACGCAGTCCCATCTTGACCGTGAGCCGATCGCTGTTATTTCCGACGGGCCGGATGAGCCGGTTGTAGTTCGAGAGGAGGTCGTCGTAGAGCCGTTTCGCTTCCGGATTGGCCGAGGCACCCGGAAACGGTCCGACCAGGCAGGAAATGGCCGTCGCCATCGCCAATAATCCGCCTAACCGAGACCACCATCGCCACCAGCCTTTCCAGCCGTCGTCCCTACGAGCATCCCTAAGCATCGTACGCCTTGTCCACCCCTGTAAGCATAATAATTATTATTATCATCGAATCATTGAAATTAAATATAATTATACATTGAACAGCGTCACACTGTACATTGTATTAGGTATTACGATGTATTACATGGTGTGTTATGTATTGATCGAAAAAAATATTCTACTACACGTAGACGGTGAATAAAGTAAAAAGGAACGCGGCTCCTGTTATTCGAGGAGAGGCAAAAGGAAAAAGGAAAATGATCGCTCTCCTTTCAGGTGAAATAATGCAATAATGAGCTTCCGGAAGGAGCATAAATCTTGGAAATTTCGACGCGAGCAAATCAAACGCGAAAGGGGCCTCTCGGAACAGAATTTGAGGTTGAAATAGTTTGCCGTTTTGGAGGTGATTTCTGGGTAATCGCGTTCTACGGCTACTCCGGAGAACACCTACCCTTTCTGCAGGGGACAGCAGCGGGTCTGGTAGGAACCGGTGGGTTGAAGACTTAACATAAAAGTATAGGAATTCAGCGTGTGTTACGACGATGATGACGCAAGGGGTGAAAGGGGGGTTAAGATATCACTGATCAAATAAATTATGAATTTCCTTATATACATATAAATTATAATTATTATTTCTTCCCAACTCCACTATTAATTTCGCGATAAAATGCCATAAGGATACAAAATTCTAAGATATTGAAATACGTAAACAATTAGCAGTGAGCTAGAAAAATAAAGGGCAAGAAAAAAGAAAATTGACGCAATACGAAAATAACACGAGAACCGTCGCATATCGGTAAAAGCTCGATTTTAAGATGGTGACGTCACGGAAGCCATAGGCTCCTCGGGCGCCAGAGGTTTGAACGTAACGTCGAGTCTGGCGATATTAAAGAAATTCGGCGGCGCGTATTGATCCTGCCTATGGAATATTGAGCGTTAGAAAAAAAAAAAAATAGGGGACGATACTGAATTTCGGAAGATTACGAAAAAAAAAAAAAAAAAGAATCAAGGCTCGCCATCGTCATTATACGAGTGTCCCATATGGTGTAGCTTTAAGGGGGGTTCGAGAAAATGTCCAGGGAGGGAAGGATATAGCTTTATCAGAATTGACCCTGTCGTCCATCGTTGGCCTGGTTAATGGACTATTTTTCCGTATTAAGGGATGAAAAATGGCCCCGTGCCAAGATAACCTTGGATCCGTGAGCAGCAGCCAACCCTTATCGTTCGAGGGAGGATGAAGGGGTGGGAGGGTGCTTTCGCTGAGATAAGACATCCCCGTGGTCATTATCAAGACCAGACCCAACCTTATCCGAGCGTCTTTGTCCCAGAGAAGCTAATTACGGGGGATTCGGATATCGTTCCGCTTCCTTAAACGGGGTGGTATCATCATCCCCCTTGCTCGACGCACCCTCGCCGATCTAACAGCGTTATATCCACCCACGCAATGGGTCCCTGGCTAAATTCAAATATGACGACGTCCACGGCACCGAAATACCCGGCCGTATGCCCGTACGAAAAATCATCCCCTAAAAAAAATTAATTCGAAAATTCGTCAGTCACTGTATAGTTTTACCTGTGGAGCGACAGAACAAATATTGTACTTGAGCAATATAAAAAAAAAATTAATTTTCGAAATGGCTACCGAAATTCACGATGCACGTCACGCGGGCAGCTCCATTTACTTAAGTGATAGAGGACAGAGCCCAATCGTGTAGTTTGTCAAGCAGTAGTTCGATCCCCAGGAACTGGGTATAATAGATCCGATAATGAGCCGTGACCGCCACATCCATCAATCCTTAGGGGCTGCGTCCAATTCCCAGGGATACAGAGCAAGAGATGCCGAGAGTTCACGAGGTTGTCCGTTTCATCCCCTACCCAAGGCCATCCCGTCCAAGGGATGTCTTTCGATACCCACCAGTAGGATGACACCAGGAAACAATTAGGCACTGATGACACGTCCCACCCCAATTCCGTTTCAACCATCTGCCGAAATCCCCGAATAAGGGCTGAAGGGAGGAAACGGAGGGTTGGTTAAGAAGGGAAAAAAATAATAATGCCAATTTTTATCCACTGTCGATTACTGATACGTACTTACGGACAGCAGTTCCCTGAAATCACTTTTCACCAAAAAAAAAAGTCATCGCAACCCCTAACTAAATATTTTTACTACCCCTTTCCGACCAGCCCTCTTCGATTTATCCATACAAATTTTCGTTATTTCTCCACGACGCGTCTCTCCTACTTATAAATATTAATTAATTATACTTACAGAGTCGTTCAAATTAACCCTTACATCTATGACTCAAGGTATACAGCTCTCAAGGTATTAGCGTGTTAATTTTGAATAAACCTGTACATCGCGTATAATTTTATCGATAGACATAGCGCCACTCGAATCGCCCTTTAATATCAGTACTCGCCCAAATACGTGTTGTACCGGACAACAGGGAACCCTCGAAACGGACCGCGTGAATCGGAACGCGGAATATCCATGAAAATGACATTGAAAGGCGTAAAGTGTAGAATGGGGGAAATGGTTAACTGGGAATGGGTATCCGAAAAGAGGGTGGGAAGAGGGTGGTAGGACGGATGGCTGTAGAGAAGTGAGAGCCCTCGAGTTAGCGGTTAGCAGAGTAGGGGTGGTGACGCAGACAGTATAGGGGGAAAGGGACTGCCGACAACAGTGATGGCAACAGGGATTTTTTATCAAGCGCATTAAAAAAATTCAAATGGATTAACAGAACGGAATAATAACCAATGGACGTTGCCCGTGGCAAAGACACTCGTAGAAATGTAGATAAAAGAGGCAGGACGAAGGAATGGATATGGTACGAACAGACGTCAGCCTTTCCCCTATATACCTCGGCCTCTTTCACTGCCGTTCCGCATGGACTGCGTAACTCTCCCCGGAGAGAGATAGTACCGAAGGAAATTATAAAGGCGCGTATATTTTCTTACCGTTGAATTGGCAAGTATCCAGCGTAAAAATAAATCCGCGTACGATTGCGCGCTCTGTTCTTGTATCTCTTGAATTTTTTTTATACCTTTCGCAAGAACGATCGCAGGGTTCCTATAGTTACTTTTGTCTTTGTCTACGCGATACAGCCGTAAGATCGAAGGATAATGAAGAATGAGAAAAACCCAGTTCTGCTAGGCTCGGGATGAAAAAAAAAAAAACAAAGATAAAGATAACAAGGGACGAGTACTTCGAAGCTAGTGAAAATTGGTGAAAGGGTCGTTTAAATGAGTTTTGGAAAAGGGTGCAGGGCAGTGTGTGAGAGAGAGAGAGAGAGAGAGAGAGAGAGAAAGAGGGGGGGAGAGAGAGAGAGAGAGGGAGGGAAAAAGTGGCTGGTCGGTAAAAGCAGCACAGCACGCGTACCTACAGCAGTCCTGCCAACGGCAGGTAATTTAATAATACTGGGCGTGCAGTGGTCCATTGAAATGCAAAGTGGAACGAAGGAAGGACACAATGGCAACCAATCCCGGCTGATCTATGGGATCGGATCCAATATGGCGTCGGAGGATGAGAGTATGAGTAAGGTCGTGGAAAGACGTAGGCGAGGAACTGAGGTTACGTTCCATATGGATAAACCATTTGAAGTCGAGCTGGATCGGCATTACAATACGAATGGTTCCTAAAGCTTCGTCCACGCGTGATCAATATAATCAATACGTTACCTTTACTTTCCGTAAGAATCTAGAGGAGCCCAACCTAACCCGCGTGTACAGTTGTTAACCCGCTAGATCCTTCTAGAAGCGCCGACCTCGGTATACCCTACGTGTTTCCTTTTCTAGTTACTTTTTTTTCTTTCTTTCTTTCTACCTCCTTCAATCTTCTCCTATGCATTCCGAAAAGCTAGGGACCCTAGACCAGCCCACACCCTTACCATCTCTATCTCCAAGACGACTCTGTAGTTAATTCAAGCCAACCTAACCTTTACCACGTGTTTATTCCGTTTCCCCTAGATATATCAGCGCGAACCTACCAGAACGTCATTTCGCATTCGAGTAAGGAACTACGGATGTAATCGAGTACCGCGGTTGGTATTGACCTGGTGATTTTTTTTGTTCAACTTGAATTCACCTAGGGAATCCCCCGGCTATGTTCAGTAGCCAATGCATGGACGTTGTACGTGTTTCTTGGATACGTTAACTAAGATTGATCTTCGCTCCTGGAATCTAGGGAATTTCGCTGACAACGGTTTAATAAGAATACACGAGACGTCTGGGGCGCTAGGGATTAATACGTAGGTCAGATAAGGGACGAAGGCGGGCCGAGGCAGTGTACCAGAATGCTTGAATAACGACTGGTGTCATTTGACTCGGCGAAGTACATCGCTTCATTAACCCAATTAACGTGGAGGCTTAATGACACGCAGTTTTTTTCATCCGTGAAACTAATGGCCGCCCGTGAAAGGAACTTGAAAGCCACCGGTGTAAATCTAGATGCAGCGAATGCTATGAGATTTTCGTAAAGGACGAGGATAGGGGAACCCTTTGACACAGTCCCATTCCTAGGGAATTTTTTGTAGCAAATTTCACAAACCCACGTTGCCTACGTTTCTGCGTGTTGATATATGCATATATAAATATATATGTATAATCAACAGTAGATAAAGGTACAGTAACGATCGGCAGGTCATGGAAATTACGTTGGCACCACTTTTCGTTAGGTGGAGTATCTTCGAAGGGGCAGCACACGTGTATATATACGTATATGGGCACACAAGGGTGAAGATCTGACTCCGTATAGAGGACGAGGAGAACAAGAGGGACAAGGGTGGATGAGTCTCAACACTTGCTAAATATCCACCGGTGTTATCCCGCATGCATATAAATCGAGGACCCCGGAGCCCTCTGGCTAGAGTTAATTATGGCAGCTTTGACGATCGCGAGGCGAGCTTTTTCGCGCCAATCTCAGTGTTACGTCAGGCGGGGTTTCCTCTGACTTTGCACGAACCGACCGAGCCCCACTTCCGGCCGTCCCAGTACCGGCACACGGCTCTTCCAGTGCCTCTGGCATGTAAATGTCCCTGGGG